AGCTTCTACACAATTTTCAAAAGTTTAATATCTGTGCTAAACTTGAAGAGGGTAACAAATATTTTGATTGACATTGACTCAGACAGAGAAGAGACTGGAAGTTTTCAATGTGTTAGGAATGTGGAGATAAATCAGAGATCACGAGAGTAAGGTAATAAGAAAGAGAAGGAAGGAAGGAAGGAGGAAGGAGAAAGGAAGGGAGGAAGAGAAGTAGGGAGGGAAGGAGGGAGGGAGTGACAGAAGGAGAAGTAAAAAGAAACTAAACTAAAAAAGTGGGTTCCAGGATTTCCTATCTGAAGATCACATTGCACCTTGCTTTTGTTTTTAGTATTCTGTGACATGAAAGTTGTAGTAGATGGATTTGCACTGTGGGAACCCAAATGCTAAACGAAATTTCATAAATAGGTGACAATCTGTCATCAGAATGTGTGTTTGCATAAATACTGTAATTTGCCTTTCTATGTATTTATAAACACATGCTTTATAAAATACATTTGAAAATGATAATTTAATTACATAATAAAACTTGAAGTCAGTATTTATCAGCATAATGCTAAACTGAATTTGTTCTTTCCTGCATTTGTATCATTAGTAAATTATAATCTTTTATCTTCCTGTACTATTATATCCTCTTTTCATTTTCAAACACTTACATAGTGTGTACATCAGATGACTTTTGCCACTAGTGAATTCAGAAAATAAACTCCTAGCATTCCTGGCTTCTCTTACATATATCTGTTTCTTTTTTGCCTCTTTTGAGAATTTTCTTCTTCCTTTTTCTGTACCTTTCAGATATATAACATCATGTTCTACTAAAAAAAATCTCAGTCAGCGAGGTCATTAGTCATGCATATTTGAGCATGAATTTCAGTGAATAAATTCCTGCTCCAAAGGGCATTTACATATGATCTTTTCTATAAGAATAAAATGCTGTGTTTTATTATGCACATGGCTATGTGCATTTTTTTTCAGTACTGAGGAGTGAACCCTGAACTACCTCTCCAGTAATTCATTTTCCTTTGATACAGCGTCTCTCTAATTCCCCAGGCAGGACTGAGACTTCTAATTCTCTTGCCTCAGCATACCAGAGTGCTGGGCTTACAGGGGCCTGTACCTCTATGCCTGCTTACGAATTTATTTTAGGTTTTTCTTGGAGAGACTCTACCATCCCCATTGATGTTGGTTCCTTCAGCCACACTACCATGGTCAACTAGGGATGAGTTTGACCCACAAGTGTGTGTTGTATACGTCCACGAAGGTGTAGGACACCATGAAAGATGAGGATGGAGCTATTTGCCTTGGAGTTCAAAGCAACTATTAAATAGTTAAGGAAAGGGGGAGAATTAACATGCAGTTTTGCATAGCAAATAGCATTGAGAGCCAAAATGTAAGTAATAAAACTTCAACAGAACAAATATTAATACATGGAATGCAGTAAAGTATAATCCAATAACTGTGGGACATACAGTATTTTCTCTTCTAATAGGATAGCTTCACCCTAATATGTGATTATGAATTCAATCAATAGTTAAAGAAAGATACGTAAGGTTAAACAGCCAAGAAAACACAACTTTTTAAAATCAGCTGTTTAATAGCTGGGATAATTGTACTGCTGATGTCTGATGGTTTATTGAAAGGAACAGTTAATGCTTAATCTTTTTGAACAGTTTTGCATGATTGTATCTGGTAATCTGAACGACTAATTTAAAGTCAACAATATGCAATAGAACAACCATTGGTGAATTCCAACCATCTTTTCTAGTGAAACTCTGTATGGCTTCTAATGTTCTTTTATTATTCTTCATTGTCTTTAATGGTTTGATGAGTCTTACATTCTTACTCTGGTAATCTGAGCAACTTTGTTAAAGATAACAATATGTAATATAACAGCCACTGTTAATTCCTATCATTTTGTTTTGAAATCCTGAATCATTTTTATTATTTTCACTTTGTTTTGTTTTTCTGCTGTTGTTACTGTTATTTTCATAATCTGTTTAAAAAATTAAATAAATAAAATCAGCCTTTTGAGCTGAGCATGGTGGTGCATGCCTATAATCTCAGCACTCAGCAGGCTGAGGCAGAAGGATTGCTGCGAGTTTGAGGCCAGCCTGGGCTAACAGTGAGTTTAAGGCCAGCCTGAACTATGTAGTGAGATTCTGTCTGAAAAAAAGCAAAACAAAAAAAAAATAATATAATAATACTGAAAATGTTTTTTTGTGTTGAAAAAACTTTGTTTCCAAATGTTTTCTACGTGTCATCTGTTTATCTAACTATCCATCCATCTACCTGCAAAAATCAGTCTACAAAGAATATCAACATGAAAGAGAAGACATTTCTCAAATCAAGTTTAAAAAAAGCCATAATCCAGGTGAAAAAGTATATTAACATTTTAGAAGTTTAATTTGTATATATCTCACTCTGCATATATGAGTAGATAGATAAGTTGCTATAAGTAATGTATTTGTTTATTTTTAATATAAATAATTTAAAGTGACATCTGGTACTACTTTTTTCTTTGTCTTTTTGAGACAGGGTCTCACTATGCAGTTCAGGCTGGCCTTGAGCTCACTTTGTAGCCCAAGCTGGTCTGGAACTCGCAACAATCCTCCTGCCTCAGCCTCCCAAGTGGTACTACTTTAAAACCAAACAAAAAAATTAAAGATAACATTACTAGAATGAGAATAAAAAAGATTTTTCCTAAGACATATTAATTCCTGAGAAAGTCAAAGAAAAAACTAACTCACACAAATAGTGAGCTTTGTTCTGACAAGTCAGGAGAACTCACATTTGCTTAATTCTGATAATTTGGTACTTTGACATTCTTGCATCGACAACACATCTACTTTGTCCTGTGGGGGATAATTCTCTACCTTAGTCTTACAGTGAAATAGATTTATTGCTTAACACCAGGGCTTTGCTGTGGCTTCTTCACTGTATATTTGCACACTTCTCATTGTTGGCTACGTTCTACACTATCTATTCCGCAGGTGTCCTGTGCTGGATATAATCTGACATGCCCACATTCACCGAGAAAATCATATTCTTTAGTCATATTCTCCCTCATATTTATTTCTAAATAAATATTTTCTGACTCTGCTTCTTTTCATTAAAATTGCCATAGATTTTTCAGTGCCATGACACATGTTTTAGGGAATATGACATCCCTTGGCATCTAGGAATATGGTATTTATTTCATCATTTATATTTTGCTACACATTTCATAGTCCTGAATGAGTCTGCCTTGTTAGTACTTGGATATGGACAGTTCTTTTTTCATGTTTTTCTCCATATTTTCATTTTCTTGTTGATGGTTCCAGCGACTCTCATGGAAGATACACCGAGTTAAAATTTCCCTTACCTTGGTATTTTTAAGAAAAAAAATGTGGATAACTAGCAGTAAATTGCAAACTATCACTTTAGTAACCTAATGGATATCAGGTTATAGAAAGACAAGTTAATTAACACAGCTATTAAATCCAAACTGTATTTTTGTTGTTTTTATCTTTCCACCTTGCCTTTGTAGTTCTGTCAATAAGACAGAGCTTACTGATGAATTAATTTTCCCTCTTCCATGTGTATAATTCATTATATATTATTCTAGCCCTTTCTTATCTATTTCCTGCGCCTTTTCTCAATCTTTCATATCTCTCTCTTTTCTGGAGTGTATTTTATTTTCTTCTCCTTTTCTTTTTTTCCCACCCCTTTTATTTTCTCTTTCATCTGTGTCAATGGTCCTTTCTTCTATATTTATTAGTTTTTATTTTTTAATTATTGCATTGCTGTGGCTTGAAATTATCCCATGATTTAGTACTTCTTATATCCCCCCTAATTTTATTATCATTAAATTGATAAACAGAATTTTATATATTTATGGTATAAAGCATGAAGTTTTGTTATGTGAGTACATTCTGAAACTATGTATCACTAATCGATGTGCCTACCACCTCATAGAGATGGCCTTTGTTTGTAGTAAGCGCACATGCAAGAGCTACTTCTCTTGTAACTTTCGGGTGTTATTAACCACGATTAACTGTGGTCATCGCGCTGTACCTTGAGTTCCTAGACTTCGTTCTTTTATTTATTTTTTATTTTTTTAAATTTTTTTTTAATTTTTTTTGGTTTTTCTCTGGTACCGGGAACCGAACTCACGACCTTGCACTTGCCAGGCAGGCGCTTTGCCGCTGAGCTAAATCCCCAGCCCCCGACTTCGTTCTTTTAAACCCAAACATTTTCCCTGTTCACCAGCATCTTCCCATCCTCCTTCCCCACCCATCCTTGGCAATCATTGTTTTTGTTTTTTCTAAATAAGATCTTATGGCTTTTGTTGATTAATTCATGAACAAGAACAAATTTTCCCTTTGTAAGTTGTCAACCACTGACATTTCTATGAATAGCTATTTTAAGTAGTTTTATATATTTTCCACCAGTCATGTCTCTTTACTGTTTATGAACTGCTCACAACTTTGAAATTACCATGAAGTAATGAATATAACGATTTAAAAATCCAAAATTTGAGTACATGTATAACTATTTTTATATAGTTTTAATAACAATGCTGCATTCTGGATATTGGAGTAAGTACTGTAAATGTCCTATACTTACTTATCCTATATTTTCAATAAAATTAAATACACATTAATGAAAAGAGAAGAAAGAGAATATTGCAGTATAGTTTTGACACATAGTAGGAGTTAATTTTTTAACTTCGTTTTATACAATTTTCAGATTAGTATGAATTTCGTTAACTTAGATTTACGTTACTTTGAATCCATTACTACAGATGATTCCACAATAGCTAATACAGAATTTTCCACTTCCATCTGGAGTTTTTCTAAATTATTCCCCAACAAGAAGGCACATGGAGGTTCCTTGTAGCTATGAGTCTTCTAGAAGAGGCAACAACGATTTGGGGTGGCAATGGACGCTTTTAAAATGCATCCCCAAATACAACATGCTTTTATTTAACATGTCCACGGACAGAGGAATCAGATTTGCCTTACCTCCTCGCTTGTTTATTTTAGCGTAGCCGGGGGCGTAGCTGCTGGACATAGAGGAAGAGCTGCTGAAAGCGATGTGGGGGAGACCGGAGACAAGTGGCTCATCACATTTTTCTGAAAAGGATACAGAGAGAGATTCCGTGAGGCTGCTGCACAGTGATGGGAATTTGTTTGTCAAAATAATTATCGAATGGAGCAAAATCCTTGAAATCCACGGAAAACATTTGCAAGTGATCAGAATTTACGCTAATTACAAGACACCACTGGAGCAGTTTAAATAACCTCCTGATTTTCAGAAGCACAGCTATATCACAGCGGATTATTCTGAAGGACCTCAATGCTGACTTGCTATCTAAGAATTTCAAGTACAATTGAGGTTGTTTGTGTAAAACACTGTTTTCTGGTGTCTTTTGGAATTATTGAAGTTTGAGGAAGAAGGATCCAAAGATAGAAAAGGGAATTCTATCACAGCTCAAAAATAAGAAAAGGGGAGTTGCTAAACATTGGCTAACATATTTCATTTATAGGAGATAAGTTTCAGAGATTCAATTTGCAATATTGTGTCTAATAATACCACAGGATACACTCAGAAATCTAAGAGGATAGATACCAAGTTGTGTCCTTACAATAATAAAAAACAAATCAATGCCCCTAAAAAAGAACAGAGTAGAGTCATCCACTTGATATGTATTACCAGGAGAAAAATTAAGGCCTCTTCATACACAAAAAGTCAACTACACTGGAAGCAGGAAAATCTCAATTTTATTTGTAACACTCTCTGAACTTGGCTTTTATAATCTCATTAACATTTTTGCCTTCTCCCTCACTAGTGATTTATTCTCTGATTCATTTAACGGACCTTTCTCCTTTTCCTAATGTCTACATTTTCCTAGCATTAAAATGCCCAGGACTCAGTCCTTGGGTTTCTTCCCAGTCTACACTCCATCTCTGGAAGATTGCATTAAGGGTAATGGTTCTCATGCTGGACCACTGCAATTGACATCTCACCGCATCGCCATAGAAACAGACTTCACCCAAGTAGTCCTCAGCCATCACTGTTGGAAGGAGACCTCCCTCCCTGGCTTTTCTACTATCCTTTCACACAAAGCAAGCCAAGAAACTCTTACAAAAATACCAGAGGCACTGTGACCACAACCAATCTGAGTAATCAATTTTAACAAACAACATGAAACCTTTCCATCTGTGGTAGAGCTTTGTAAACTTTTGAAACAAATTTCAACTATCTTTTCATTCTTTTGCATTAACTTACTCCAGTATATGATCATACATGCCTACTCTATTTCCCGGAAGTACTTGCAGTAGAATTAAGAAAAATGTAAGATAGAAAAATATCTTATGAAAATGCATTTTAACTCAGGTCTGTACATCATTCAGTGGTGAGATAATGGGTAATAACTCATTTCTCCAGCATTGGGAACTTTACTTCAGTGGATGTTGGAGAAAATGTCAAAAGGTCCACTGGCATCTGTTCTCAGTTATGGGAACAAGTTCAAAGCCCCCAGTGGCTGCAGCGCCCATCCTTCATTCCCGTCCACTATTGCCCAGGTGGACTGCCCTCAACCCTCTTCCTTCGAAGTCAAGACTGTTCCCACTGGAGACTCTTGCAATGATCGTTCCCAATGCAGAAAGTCTCGCACCACTCCTGCTTCTCTGCTGTGTCACAGTACCACTGTGAGCAGGCTTTGCTGTCCCCGCTTTGCTGAAATGCTGTCTGTCGCCATCACCTCCGGACTTGCATCTTGCTTTATTTTCCTTAGCATCACCATGTATATGCTCATTAGTTCTTTAGTTGATTTTCATTCCACTAGAACATAAGCTCTGAGGAAAGATACAAGGTGTGACTGAAAAATAGGGTGACTCTGTAGTTTTTAAAAACTCTATTACAGTAAAAGACACATGACCCTTAATCCACCTAAACTACTCCGCAGAGCTTTGAACACACTTATCCCATCATCTTGGCACATTCCGAACCATTTCTGGAAGCATTTCTTTCATGAGTGTGTAGTTGCACTGCTGTGGTCGCTCGGATATCCTGGATTCATTCAAAATGCTTACTTTGCATGTCCATTTTGATTTTGGGGAAGAGCCAGAAGTCACACAGTTCCACATCCTGTAAATTAGGTGGATGGAGACACAGTATAATGTAACTGCACTCTGGCACTTGGCAACAGCACCTACTGTATTTCTTTTAGTCATAACTCATAAAGATCCTCATAAAATAGTACTTCTGGAACAGCTTCAGAAATGGATTGATGGATATGCTCAAAGAGAGGAGGAATGTTTTGATGGTGATCAGTGACAATGCATCTTTCACTGTGATGATTGTGCTTTTAATTTAACATTCCCCATATATTTTGAGCATACTGTGAAGTTGCGGATACTATTACTATTTAGTAATCTGAATAGTGCATGGCATAAGGTACATATTTTACGAACACTTGAGTAATGAGTGAATGAAAAAGAAAGTAAAAACCAAATGAGTGTCCCCACACTTCAAGGAGTCCAGAAGCCCAGTGTCAAACTTTCGGCAGAACTCAAGTTTTAAGAAAGAGGTCTTTAATTCCCAACAAATAGGCACATATGCTCAGGACCCAGTTTAGTGAGTTACAAAATTAAAATATATATTCCAGAATGTTTTTATGTCAGATATTTATAAACAGGGAAAAAAGTTCAGTTATAAAAGGAACAGGCGTTTTCTTAAATATTCAATTAAGGGGAATTAAGTCTCTCAAGACACCAGGTAAATGAATTATTTTTTATTATTTTAGCATTCTAGTGTCTATAATTCAGAAGTCAAAATAAAGAAATCTGTCCTCATAAATTGTCTTGGTTTGTGTCTGCATGTCCCCCCAAAGCCACATGCAGTCATGGGACGGGCTTCTAGAGTTTATGATTGATCCATGGTCCAATGCTGGATTATGGGTGTAAGAGCTACACCTGCCCTGTGGCAGGTACTTTGCATACAATGTAAGGGAGGGAAAGAGGCTGCTTGCTGCTCCCCGCTTTTGCTCTTCTTGTTTTTACTGTCTTCTGCCACTATGAACTGTTGCCTTCTGCCATGTGTCACTCTGCCTTGGAACCAGCTGAGTATGGACTGAAATCTCCATAAGCTGTGAGCTAAGTATTCCTTTCCTTCCCTAATTTTGGGAGTCAGGTACTTTGTCTGAGTAATGACAGAAAAGTAACCAAGACAGAATTCTTCACAGATTTTTTTTTTTTAGCTATACTTCAAGGGCCTGTGGGAAATACAGCATATATACAGTATCCTATTGCCCAGAAATTACACTGCAAAAAGACTAAAAAAAATGAATTTAAAATGTGCTTCACAAGTAATCAGTTCAAACAAGTACATAAAAAAAGTGGTGAATTTTATGTTGATTGATAAAATGTACTGTGAATGTAGCTGTACATGGGCACAAATATGCATCTTTGATTTTAATTTTCAGATTTATTCAAGTATAATTTTTTATACATTTTGTCAGAAGTTCTGCACTGGATCAAAGTATGTGGTTTTTTTTTTATTGTTCTCATTAAATTAAGGATGAGCTAATGTCCATCCACAGTCATCTCATTCCTCCAAACCCAGGTCAGACCACCCCCCAAAACAGGTGACTCCACAAGGTCTGTCCCTGGAGAGCATAGGTTCCAATGTAAAGAAGAGACTTAACAACAATCACTAAGCTGGTTGTTTGAGATGGTGGAGGACGCTGTGGAGGGACACTGGTTATTTGAAGAGGGCCCAGGGAGGCTGGAAGACAGTGTGGATGTGGAGGGAGCTGCTGTTCTGTGCTGCCTTGTCAAGAAATGCCTCTTTGATCAGGGAACATCAGAGTATTTATTGATCTGCAGGAAATGAGAAAGCAGGCCATGTAAGAAATCAACAGGATCATGCTGGGAAAATCCTTTTCTAGTCTAAACCTGCTGAATACAGCTGGTTTCTGCTTGAGAATAATAAATGACACTTTTTCTGAAAGTAAGTATTTAAATGCTGTATGGAAAGAAACAGAAGTTGAGAAATAATGAGATGATTCATTAGCGAATTGAAATTTAAAGACTACATATAGCATTAATGACATGTAAGGGTAGTTTACTCCTATTGCACTCCTAAAAATTAGAATTTTATAGCAATTTATTATCTTATTATCAAAATAAGCAAATAAAATTTATTTTGTCAAAGGAGATTGCTAAATGTTAGGCATTGGAATCTCATACTTGTCTAAATTTAAATGAAATGAATAATCATACAATTAACTAAGAAAAACGCTACATTTACTGTATCTTCTTTTGGGGAGATTAAGCACAAATATTTCTTGAAGCCTTAGTTCATGCATCCAAAATTTTAGGAAAATTATATCTATATCCATATTTATGTCTATATTTACAGCTATAGATTCCACTTATGTATTGAGGATAGCGGTATGCAACATAACAACCACTGTTGATTTGTATTAATTTGTCTTGAGACCCTGTATCACTTTTAATGTTTTTGCTTTAATTTGTGATACTGGTATGCTGCTAGTGTTCTATATTTTTGTTTGTTTGTTTCTCATGTACTACTCTCTTTAAAATAAAAAAAATATATATATATAGTACCAATGAACTTACTTTTTAAGTGTTAAAAAAAGCTACATCAGTAAGTACAGCTATGTCATCCCCTTATGAGTGACAAAAACAGATAGAGTAATATAAGTAACTAACCATTAAACAAGGTAATAGTGATACCAGTTTGTAATTTAATGTAAAGGAGAATATAATCAAATAATGAAAGTAACTAATAAATGTAAGATGTCAGACCATTGTTCTGGTGAGATGCTTGTCAAACCTGGAGCCAATATAAGTGTATAACCTTGAATACACCAACGTCACTTATGTCCAGTGATGAGGAAGTTCAGCTAAGTTTCTCCCAGCCCCTGAAAACTCCAAGAAAAGTCGAGCACAAGAATCGGCAAACTTTCCTGAAGGCCAAATCCAGGCCAGAGCTTGCTTTTATGAGTAGAGTTCTACTGGAGCACAGTTACTTTCCTTTCTTTATGGATTTTCTATGGCTGCTTTCCCAGGACAGCTGAATGCTCTGAAAGAGACCATATGGCCTG